TGATGACGATCAATATGATGATTATGATGATGTTGATGCTGATGCTGCTGCTGATGATGATGCTGATGCTGATGATGATGCTGCTGATGCTGCTTATGATGATGACGACGATGATGATGATGATGATGATGATGATGATGAGGATGCCAATGACGATGTTAATGATGGTGGTGGTGTTGATGATGATGATAATGATGATGATGATGATCACGATGCTGATGCTGATGACGATGATGACGATGATGATGACGATGATCACGATGACGATGATGATGATGCTGATGGTGATGATGATGCTGCTGATGATGCTGCTGATGATGCCGATGACGATGATGATGATGGTGATGATGATGCTGTTGCTGCTGCTGATGATGATGGTGATGATGATGATTATTATGATGACGATGCTGATGATGATGCTGATGATGCTGATGATGATGCTGATGATGATGATAATGATGATGCTGCTGATGATGATGATGATGCTGATCATGATGATGATGATGACGACGACGAAGATGATGATGACTGATGATGATGAGACCTGATGATGATGATGATGATTGATGATGATGATGCAGCTGTTATCTGATCATGATGATGATATGATGCTGATGATGCGCTGATGATGATATGGTGGGTGGTGATATGATGATGATGATGTATGATGATTGATGATGAGGATGCTTGCTGCTGCTGCTGCTGGATGATGATGATGATGATGATGATGATTGATGATGATGATGATGATGCTGGCTGCTGCTGCTGCGGCAAGAGGAGGAGGAGGAGGAGGGAGGTAGGAGAGGTGGAGGAGAAGGAGGAGGAGGAGGAGGAGGAGGGGGCCATCTTGGAAGACTCTTGGGGCGCTCTTGGTGCGCTCCTGGGAGCTTCCTGGGAGCCTCTTGGAGGCAGCCCGGGGGCCTCCTTGGGCCTTCTGGGGGCCTCTGGTGGCTTTTCGGGCGCCTCTTTGCCCGTCTTAGGGCGTTCCTGGCCCGTCTGATGCCGTCGGAGGCTCTCTTGGGGTCCTCTCTGAACGGACTTAGGGCCCTCTTCGGGTGCTTCATGGCCGTCTTGGAGGCCGTTTTGGGCGTCTTGGAGGCCTCGCTGCCGCCTTGGAGCCCTGTTAGGACCGTTATGAGGCCATCTTGGAGGCCGCAGCGTCCATCTTGAGGCGATCTCCGGGCCTCTTAGGCCGTCTTGAGCCGTTGGAAGGCCGAAAAGAAGCAACTTCCCCAATCTGTCAAAAACCGAGAGACAATCAATGAAACTGGCCTCTTCGGGCCTTCCTGGAGGACCTCTTCGAGGCCTCTTGGGCCGTCTTGGAGGCCTCTTTGGGGCCTGTTGGGCCGTCTTCCGTCATCTTGAGGCCATCTTGGGCGTGTTGGAGGTTTCTTGAGCAAACTTGGAGGCCTCTTGGACGCTCTGGTCAGTCGTGGAGGCCATCTTGGGCGGGCGAACTTGGGGGCCATCTTGGCTGTCTGGCCATCTTGGGCCGTCCTGGAGCCATTTGGAGCGGGACAAACGTTTGCAACCACCTCTGGAAGAGCCTTGCGGGTGGCCGGCGGCATGCGCCCAAGCCCCAGGGGGAGTATTTTGGGGAAAAACCGAAACCAAGTCGTGGGGTTCAGGGGCGGCGGATCGAAGACGCCTGCGCTGAGTCACCGCCGCCCCCTGCCTTTTTAGAGGCGCCTGCGCGGCGGAACGTTGGGCCAGAGCTTGGCCAAGCTATCGGACTATGTGGCCTCCCAGCCGCCATTGACACCTTTCCTCCGGGTACGCGTGAGCCCAGGCCGAGAACGGCGGCGGGCGCAGCAGCGGCCGCACCTCGCGCAGTGACCCCTCGGGCGAGCTCTCGGCAGCGGCTCCGCGGGAGCCCAGCGCCCGCGATGAGCGCGCCGCGCAGCGCGGTGCGGCGTGGAGCCGGCCGTCCCACCCGTGGCCGGCCCGAGCTGGGCCTGCGGGGCTGGCCTCGGCGGCGCCCCGCCGCTGGCGTGAAGTCGGGCGTGTCCCTCTGCAGGAGGAGTATGCAAAAGTTGTCAAACAATAGTCTGGGGACGATGTTTCGAAGAGTCTCGACTATTTTTGAGCATGTTTGGGCTGTTGTAAATTTTTCCTTCAAAATCCGCCTGTGGGAGGACACGCCCGACCTGACGCTGGCGACTTCTGGTCCCAGACATGATCGCGTCGTTGAAAACTCACGACGGGAGGTTTTCGGCCGTTTTCGGCCTCGGGGGGCCCTTCCTGGGCCTTGGGGCCGTCGACAAGGACTCAGGATGACAAACTGGCCCCAGTGAAGGGGTCGGGACTTCCGCGGACCCCGTACGGACAAACATCAGGACGTGGTATGTCTGGGGTGGCCAGCCTCCGGCTGCCACGTCCGCGGAAGGTGTGCGCTGCCCAGCCTGAAGTCGGCGGCGCGCGAAGCGCTGAAATATCATCGAGAGTAACAAGCCTAAGTTAGGTCCCCGTCGATGCATTAGGGGTAACACGCACAGATAATATATATGTGTATATATATATGTATATATACACACATCTGTAGTCGGGTCGTTTTGCTTGATACACCTGCTGGAAACACCCCCTATCCCAATATTTTTTAGCCTCTTCACTTGGGTCTGCTTCCAGAGGGCTGGTGGCCCCTTCGTTGCGAATCAAAGGGGGGGCCGGGCGGGGAGCGGCGAGTGCCCGAGTTGGGGGCAAGGTCCGAAGAGCTGGAGCGCACGGGCCGCCGAGGCGGGAGCCGAGATCGGCCGCCGCAGTGAGCCGCCCGGGTGTGCGGTGGCAGCCGCGAGCGGCGGCGCCACTGCCCAGGGGAGAGCCCTCCTCCTCCTCCTCCCCCTCCTCCTCCTCGCTCTTCCTCCTCCTCCTCCTCCTCGCTCCTCCTCGCTCCTCCTCGCTCCTCCTCGCTCCTCCTCGCTCCTCCTCGCCCCTCCTCGCTTCTCCTCGCTCCTCCTCGCTCCTCCTCGCTCCTGCTCCTCCTCCTCCTTCTCCTCCTCCGCAGGCGCAGACCCTTGCACAGTCCCTGGCGCCGTCGCAGCCACTCCCCTGCCGTCGCGCTCTGCACTCTGTGCTGTGCTCTGTGGAAGCCGATGTCTATGTCGCCTGCTCCTGACAACAGAACACGGCTCGAACGGTGCCCAGATCAGTCTGAGCAGGCAGTTCAAGGCCAGCTCTCGTGAGGAGCTGGACAGAGTGCCACTGTACTTCTCGTCGCACAGGCCTTCTGAGTACACTTCAGCTTCCGAGCAGTCCTGGCCACCAACCCTGACCCCCTCGTGAGACCTCTCTGAGCAACGCTATGAGGTCCGATGGGGGTCGGAGAGCCATGGTCCGACACAGTCCGTCCTCAATACCGCTGGGTCCAGACTACAGAGCTGCCTTCCACGAAGCTTGATCTTCGCTGCCCGAGGTCTTCTCCTCGGTGGGAGGCCCAGACAGTGCCCAGAAGGACCGGCTGCCCGACTCCAGCCCCCTCCTGCCTTCCCGCCCCGTACCGTCATTTCCCTTCCTGGCCGTTCCGTCCAGTCCCGCTCCATCCTTTCACACGTCGTGCCGTCCTGCCCCCCTCTGTCCTCTCCCTTCCCTCCTTTCCCTCCCCTACCATCTCTACTACGCCGCCTCCTTCTCTCGCTCCCTCTTTTTTCCGCCTACCTTCTCTCTGTCGCTCCCACTGCGGCTCCCCCTCTCCCTCCCTGCATGCGCAGTTTGGCTTTTGCCCGTGCCAGTATTCCTGCCTCCTGTCGCGCTCTCGGAGCTGCAGTCATAACGGCTGCCAGCGCAGACTGTTTGCGTTGGCTCCTCTCCCTGCGTTCCCCGAGCAGGACAACGCAGGCAGGAGCTGTTTGAAACAGCTCCTCTCCCTGCGTTGTCCTACTCGGGGAACGCTAGTTCCTGACCCGGCCTGGATCGGTCGGTGTAAGTGGGTGGCTGGCGCTACCCGACCTGTCTTGCCCTGTCGTCGCCCTTCCCCCCCCCACACCTGACGGCGTGAAAAAATACAACGTCGTGAGCAAGACCACGAAGCTCCCGATCCCGCCCAGATGGATCTGTGGGGGCCCTGGGGCCCGAAACGGGGTGGAAACGACGAGTCGAGTTTTTGTTTTCGGTGGACGGATGTCAGGGACCTGCCGACGAAAATCCGTTCCCGAGGCCATTTCCAGACCCCCTCCAGGACACCACCCCGCCTTCTCTGCCGCGAAAGGCGGCCTCTCCGAGACGCCCAGACTGTCCTCGGAAGCGTGCCAGGGGCGCGAGAGAACTCGAGGGTGCCCCAGGCCCTCCCCTCCTTGGTCCCTGCCCTCCAGCTGGGATTTAGACGGGCCGTCTTGAGGCCGTCTTGGGCGTCATTTCGGCGTCACCCCAGCATACTAATACTATGTGTGCCCCACCCCTCCAGGGACGACGCGCGTACCGAGAAATCTTCTACTATGTGCGCCGTGGCGGGCGCTTTCTGGCCACACCGCTCGGGAAGCGGTATATGATCCCGGGTCCAGAGTTCACAAGCCCCCCCCCCCTCCCCTCCCAGATGGGATGGGTGCCTCCCCAGATGGGGGGGAGGGGGGGGGCCCCAGACCCTGGACCACATATACTACAGGATGGGCATACTATGTGTGTTTGGGTCGGACGCGCGTCTCCAAGGAGGACATGCAGTACTGGTATGCCCCTGTGCGTCCCTCCGTTGCGGCCCCTCCAGCGTGCCGGTGCACTTCTGCGGCCATCACCGGGAGGCGTCTGGGAGGAGGAGGAGGAGGAGGAGGAGGAGGAGCAGGAGGAGGAGGAGGAGGAGGAGGAGGAGGAGTAGGAGGAGGAGGAGGGGGAGGAGGAAGAAGGAGGAGGGAGGGAGGAGGATGAGGAGGAGGAGGAGGAAGAAGGGGAGGAGGAGGGGAGAGGAAGGCGGGAGGCGAGAAGAGGAAGAGGAGGTTGGATTTCGAGGCTCCGAGGCCCGCTCCTCGCCTCTCCCCGCCGCTCCGCCTCCGCGCCGGGGCGCCCGCGGCGGGCAGGCGACGCTGCAGCGCGACGCGGCGGCGGGCGGGCGGGTTTGACGCCGGCGCGGCGCGGCGCGGCGGCGGCCACCGTGCCCCCCCCCCTCGTCCTCGTCCTTGTCTTAAGTCGGGCACGTCCCTCTACAGGTGGAACTTCAAATATCAAAGATAGGAAAAAATAGTCAGGGGACGATTATTGGACTATTCAGGACTATTTTTGAAGTTCTTTGATAATATTTTGTTCTTCCTCCAAAATCAGCCTGTAGGGGGACATGCCCGACCTAATCCTTGTCTTCCTGCGGGGGCCAGGGGGCCAGGGGGAGCCGCCGTCGAGGCTCGGAGGATGAGAGCGCACTGGTGCCAGGGGCCCTTCCCTCGTTCTACGAGGCAGGAACAGGCACCCCGACCCCCACTACCGGCGCTTACGCAGCGGCCGTGGGCGTCCAAATCAACAGCCCGGTCCTGTCCGATTCCTTCCGGGGGTTCATTTTCTAAACGGCTTCGCTTGTCAGGGTGCTTAATTCTGAAGGTGCCTTTTTTACTCTCGAATTTCCGCGCTTGTGGGCCTCCTGGGAGGTGGGCGGATGAGCAATGATCAGGAGTGGAAAAAACACACAGACACAATTGATATACGAAAATATGGGAAGTGGGGTGAAGACGAAAACCCAGAAAATATAGGAAAATTTGGGGAATGCTTTTATTTGTGTGTAATTATTTGTGTGTCCTTGGGCCCCTTGAAATGAGGGGAGCGAGGGGATTCAGGGCCGTGTCGATGCAGAGGTTTGCATTCGGCCAAACCACCCAATGCTCCGTTGCGGAGGCCCAGATCCGGTTCCGCCGACCCTGCAAGGACATCAACAGGGACGGAAGGTGTGGGAGGGGGCGCGGGCGGGTGGTGGTGGTGGCAGGAGAATCCGCACGGTTGCGCGGAACAGGTGCGCATCAGGAAGAGAAGACGTCGACATGGGCAGACCAGAACGCAGGGCGGCGGGAGGGGAGCTGGGGGAGCCGCGGGGAGGGGAGCTCCGCTTTCCCAGGCTGGCTCCATGTGGCCGCAGGTTCTCCGGGGTCCCCTCGGACCGTCTGGGGTCCACCTCGGGTCTCGCTGGGGGCTTCTCCGGGCTCGTCGTGAGGCACTCGGCAGCCTCCGCGAACGCGTTGTAGAACCTTGCGTGATCGACGACTCCTGCGGCGAGTTGCCGCTGCCCCCTGCCTTTGGAGACGCCTGGGCTGTGTCTCGGAGCTTGATAGACCTCCTACCCTGACACGTCGATTACCGAATTGGCCGTTTTTTCTCTCGCGAGAGGCCGTCGCGGCCGTTATTTTTGCGTGTCCAGGTCCGTCGGTTTCGGTCTTAGGCCGTTTTCACTGAAGGGTGGTTTGAAACGAATGTCGTGAAACGTCGCGTGAAAGTGCGGCTGCGCTATTGATCGGACTGCGTGTTCCCCCAGCTGCTGGGGAGAGCCCTGGAGGAACGCCAGGAAGGGGCCCCGTGGTTCCAGCTTGGGGTTGTCTCGGTGTTCTTTTCGGGCCTTTGGGGTTTTCGTGCGGTCCTCCTGGGGGCCCTCTTGGGGTCCATCTCGGGGTTGTCTCGGTGTTGTTTTCGGGCCCTTGGGGTTCTCTTGCGGTCCTCCTGGGGGCCCTCTTGCGGCTCTCTATGGGCCGTCTCGTTGCCGTCTTTGAGTAGGCCGCCTCGGGGCCTGATTGAAGCAGTGTGCGGACACCTTGGGGCTCTCTTGGGACTCTTGGGCCGTCCTGGGGCCGTCTGGGGTCCTCCGGGGGACTATGTGGACTATCTTGGGGCGGTCTTGTGGGCCTCTTGAATGGTCGTGGATTTTCGGATGACCGAGAAGGCGAGAGTCCGAAACTAATGTATCAATTTCATACGATTCTAATGTTAAGTCGGACGTGTCCCTCTACAGGAAAATTCAAGTATAGCCAAAAAATAGTCAGGGGACGATTTTCCTATTATTTGTTTGACTATTTGTGAATATTCGCCCCAAATCCGCCTGTAGGGGGGACATGCCCGAACTAATTCTAATGATGTCAGCCTCTTGGGCCGATCCCGAGGGCCCCTCAGACGGCCCAAGAGGCACCCAGGAGAGCCCCCTGGTTCCCCTCGGGGGCCGTCACGGGCCATTCTGGGGCCGCCTCGGGCCATCTCGAAGGCAACGTTGGACGGACGCCTTGGACTGCTTGGGGCATCTTTGAGTCCAGATTGGAACGCTTTGGGTCTCTGGGAGTCGGGCTCCGTGTGCACGTTTCGTCGACACCTTTCGGGTGGCCTGGCACGTCGGAGGCCCGCCGGGAATCTTTCGGGAAGAGTCGGGGAACCGTGAGACTCGAGCACTACGCCAGAATGGAGGGTTTCTCCGAAGGGCTTAGGCGACCCGTCCTCCTCCTGCTCCTCCTCCTCCCTCCTCCTCGTCCTCCTTCTCCTCCTCCTCCTCCTCGTCCTCCTCTTCCTCGTCCTCCTCCTCCTCCTCCTCCCTCCTCCTCCTCGTCCTCCTCCTCCTCCTCGTCCTCGTTCTCCTCCTCCTCCTCCTCCTCCTCCTCCTCCTCCTCCTCCTCCTCCTCCCCCTCCCCCTCTTCCACCTCCTCCTCGGGTCGCACGCTGGAACTCGGGTTTTTCTCGGGGCTTTTTGGCAAGCGCGTCCTGGTTTTTCACGGTCCAGCTTTTGTGGAGTGTCTGCAGCGGGAGCTCGCGTCAAGTTCCAGACTGGGTCTCGTCATTGTCATGGCGGCCCCGTCGGGCCAGCCCGAGTCCCTTGGACCCGAGTCTTACGTCTCCCCGACAGGGGCAAACAGAGCCATGCCATACAGACTTTGGTAGGACAAGCGTTGTGGAAGTCGATTACTGGAGAGGAAGCATGCTGCCAAATAATTTCCAGATGTCTAAAACATGTTTCACTTTTTAACATACAAACACGTGCCAAAACATGTATGAAACATTTTTAGATCATGTATTATACATTTTTAAACGCACCTTTAATTCAATGATAGGATTGTTAGAATGTCCATTGTCGTGGCATCCACAAGACAAGCGCACCTGCGAGGGGCCGCGGATCTGTGGGCCTTCGGCCGCCTCGCGCGGGTCGTGGACCAGGGTCTCCCCGGGAGCTTCCCGGGGAGGAAGTCTCGAGACTTCTCGGGAGCCTCTCGGGGGCCTCTGGGGGCGTCCTCGGGGTCTCTGGGAGGCCTCCTGGGAGTCTCGGGCCCGTCTTGGGGGAGAGGCTTCCAGTGGTCAGGAGGTGGAGTTCTTTTTTCTGACCTCTTGGGGCCGTCTTGGAGGGGCCCGTCTTGTGGGCCTCGGGGGCCGTCTCGGGGCGATCTTGGCGCCCTCTTTGGGCCGTCTCGGACGCTTCAGTATTTGAGACGGTGAGCATATATAGCATCATGTGAGATTCAATGTTCTTTGAATGACTTTGGCCTCTTTGGCTGTCCCCGCTGGCCTCCGTCCAGGACGACCTCAGAGACCCTCAAGACTGGTCCAGAATAGGACCCTGGGAGGTTTGGACTCCGAATCACGCTAGACAGCTCTGGGCCCACGGTGGGAGGGAAGCCGAGGGGAGCTGTCCTCCCCAGTCCTGGACCTCCCTCCCGAGGCTGGGCGTCGTGGAATGGGGGGGTGATAAATGGGGGCGCGCACAAGGGGGTGGAGGAAGGGGGGAGGGCTTCTTAGAAGGAGGCTGCTTCTTAGAAGGCGCCGGCCTTACATCTATAGATAAGGCCCGCGCCTTCTAAGTGCTTCTAAGAAGCCCTCCCCCCCTCCCCCCCCCTCTGCGCGTTGCTGATGATAAATGGGGGGGGGGCAGCGAGGGCTGCAGAAGAGGGGGCCTTGAGGGCTGCACAAGGGGCCATCCAGTATTCAGGATCCCAAAATGGGGCCTGCAGGGCCCGAGAAGTGCACCTTTCTTCCCCCTTCGTTCATCGCCGCCCATTTGAGCGACGCCCAAGGCCCCAGGTGGCCACAAGTTGAGGGGGGAGAGCCTGAGACTGCTGCTAGTGGGAGAGGCCGCCGTCTTCCCTGGGAGACCACAATCTCAGCATTCCTTGTGGTAGTACGATGCGGATCGTTGGACCCCCCGTGCACCCCTGGCTCCAAACGACGAGTTGAGGGAGTTGTTCCGTGGCCTCATCGGGCAAGTTTTTGGATTGAAAGATCATACCGAAGTGCCTCTTGGCCGCTCTTCATGTTTAAGCTAGTTCGTAGAAGTCTGGATGGTCACTCGACGGCAGGGTCCGCGGATACGCGGACCACCTCCTCTTTCCTTGATCTCGCCCCCTCCGCTCTCCCAGGCCTCCCAGGTGGGCTCATGAGCGGCGAGCATAGCCGTATGCGCGCTCTCGCGCTATGGGTTCTGGGGCGCCATCCCGCAGATGCGCGTGCGCATGGCCACGTTCCGCGCGGGGCAGCCGCGAACAAACGCCCCGCATCCGCAGGATCGCGGCGCAGGGGCCCGTCCCGGAAGGCCGCGGATGCGGCTATGGGCTTCGCCCACGGGGGGTCGGAGCAGATGGGGGTCGGAGGAGGGCGCCACGATGCGGCCCGATGTGGGATTTCATTTTCTCTACCCCGACGTCCCCGATGCATCGTGGATGCATTCCCGACCCTATCTACTCGGACCCCCAGCTCTGCTTTCCACCTTCCTCCACCTCTCCCTCCGCTTTGCTGCCCCGCCCCTCGTCCCGAGACCTCGGTGTCCCAGGCTCTCCCCACGCCAGTCCCGCCTCCTCCCTGCTGCGCGTGATCGCGCCGAGCTTCTGAAGGGGGGAGGTCCCACGGCCGGCTGTTTGGGGCCGAAGCCCGCGCTGGCCGAGCGGATTTTCCAAGTAGGATTTTCGTAGGCGCCGCTGCAACACGCAATCGTGGTGCCCGTGCGGCGAGCAGTTTCGGCAGGGAGTTCCGAGGGCGCCGCTGCAGCATCGACCCGTGATGCCCCCTGCGGTGGATCAGGAGGAAAAAAAACACACAGACACAATTAATCGGCGATTCCCAGAAAATATGAGAAAATATGGGAAGTGGGGGGGAAGACAGAAACCCAGAAAATATGGGAAAATATTGGGGATATTTTTATTTGTGTGTATTTATTTGTGTGTTTCAGTTCCCCTTCAGAGAAAGGCAACGCAGGAGGCCTGCTCGGGTGCCGCCCCCCGGAGTGCCGCCCCCCCGGGACACCTCCCGCTGGCGGGGAGGGGATCAGAGCGAAGGGGCTTCCCTTCAACACGAGCACGTCTTTGGTCGATTTCCGGAGGAAGTGGCATCATCTAGCTCGGCATCTCACACACGCCGACAGGGTCGGCGAGTTCCGACGTCTGAGGAAGTGCTGTACGAGAGCCCCAGTTGGCGAAGGGGTTACCCTCCATCAGTGCAGGTGTTGCGCATTACCAGATCTTGTTATACAAGGTGGTATGCTTACCTTTTTTTTTCAAAAGGAGCTGCTTTCCGTACGTGTAGGTGCTGTGAATGTCAATGCCGAGTGTGCGCGGCTCGAAGGCGAGGGCCGCATGACATGGAACGATCCGTCCTCCAACACATCCGCCTTCCATCAGTCTAAAGGTTAGTGTCTCAGCGCTTTTTTGACAGCCGTTCATCCTCAATACGTGTGACCAGTGGGAGCTCCCCGAGTTTCGCGGCGTTCGGGCGATAACCATATTTTTAACACCATCCGCCTTCCGACCGCGTAGCTGTTCGAAGTTTCAGGCTTCAACATCATACGTGGTGAGGAAGTCCCTGGCGGAGCGCCCCGCCCGCCACTTTGACACGCCTTGTGCTTCGACGAGGACTATTTATTTAAAAAGAGGGAAGATGTGCAGGAGGAGGATGTGCGCCAAAGTGTGCTGGGAGGTGGATGGGCAGGAGTGGGAGTGGGAGGAGGATTAGGAGGATGAGGAGAGGATGAGGAGAGGAGGGGAGGAGGAGGGGGGGGATGAGGAGGCAGGAGCAGGGCAGGGAGCGGAGCCGGAACAGGAGTGAGGAGGAGGATGAGGATGAGGAGCGGAGGAGGAGGCGTTGGAGAGGAGGAATGTATGGGGGAGGAAGGGCTGAGGTGAAGGGCGGGGAGAGGAGGCGGAGGATGAGTGGGAAAGGAGGGTAGGGACGAGAGAGGAGGGAGGAGGAGGAGGAGGAGGAGGAGGAGCTATGGCGCTATGGCGACTAGCCACAGAGGAAAGGGCGTTCCCGACTTGGGCCAGAGCCCTCTCCCGAGGCGGTTCAAAGCCTCCAGTCATTTCCGAGTGGGCTGCTGGCGGGGATCGAGGAGCTGTCCTCTGCTGCTCGCAGCGAAGCACCCGCAACTCGAACAAGAGAGCACTCCGTTGAGCACTCGAACGTATCCTGCTGTGCTGCGACCTGTCACGTCGCAGCGGCGTGCGTCTGTCGCACACTGGCCACCGTCCGATGCAAGGCTTTTTTGAGGGGCGCTGTGCGAATGGCTTCTGAGAGCATCGGCATGTACGCACGTGCCTACGATGCTCCATCAAAGAGGCCGACTCCGAAACAGGAGGCGGCAGTCCAAGGATCGATTGTGCGCATGTGCTGTGCTCCCCCACGTGCGAGCCTCTCACGCCTACGCTCACGAGCTTGCGCACGATTGTGCTCGATGCGCGCACGAAGCTGTATTGTAAGAGAGACGGACAGGAGGAGAGGGCACCGGAGCGCACGCAGGGTCAGAAGGCATTTTCAAGACTTCAAGCGCGTCTGCATACTCTTGCTCCTCGTCTGCCTCTGGTGGGCCGCTCGGCCTCGGTGTAGCAGACGGATGTAGAACAACACTGGCGGGTGGCGGTTCGACTGCGACTGGTGGTGCAAATCGCTCGCTCTCGGTCGGCTCTCCGCCTACGACTGCCGTCGGTTGGCGATACAAAAGATGGGGCCCATCCTGCCGTGACTCCCAGTACACTGTCGGAGCTCACCCCCCCGGTTATGCTTGTCCATCGGCAGCTCAGATGGCGTTATGCTTGTCCATCGGCAGCTCAGATGGCGCGCAAGATGTGCACATGTGAGAAACTGCGTCCACGATACAGTCAGCTAGCACACTGCGCAGGGCCAGGGGCACAGTCGAGTTTGATTGGTAGGCCGACCCTGCCCAGACAAGGGTACCCTCGAGTCCTGTGTTTCGCGACCCCTGCCCTCCACGTGTCGCTGGCAATGTGGCCATCCCAAGGGTCCTGTGTCCTCTCGCGTGTCCTCTCCAGTCCACCCCGACCCTATGTTTTCTTCTTGGCAGTGCGCCACCCGTTGCGAGATCGGCCAAGCCCCATCCGAAGAGCTCGTGGGCACCACGAGCGTGCGAGCACCTCGCTCGCCCATGGTGCCTCCGTGAGCCTGTTGTGCGGCGTTCCCATGCGCAGTGCCAGCATTCGTGTCGGCCCACGTGCAGCCCTGCCCATGTTCGCCTCGGTCGAAGGCTGACGCTGACGCTGCAGGCGACGCTTTCATTGCCGTGAGTGGTTCGCACACGAAGGAACTGACGGCTGTTAACCTCCAGCTGGCACGTACGGGATGGGATGCTCCATCCAGCAACAAGTGCCGACAGCTAAGTGGACCCCAAACAGCTCACTTCTGGCCCCAATGCGCACGTTCCCAACGCACCATTCCACTCGACGTAGTGTAATTTGCCAGCTTACCCCGGAAGTCGTCGTGGAAACTAGGCGAAGGTGGGCCGCGGTCCCCTGCCCATCGTATGGCAGCCTACGTCTCGCATGGGGAACCCCCACCAGAAAAGGACCACCCGTCGAGCTCGTGGGTGCTCCTTTCAGATGTCGAGAGTGCTGCGACGCATCATGTTTCCTAGTTTCTAGTATCGTTTCGATGGCGGTGGTGATCGAGAAACGATTCTGGCGAAACTTGTCAGGTAGTGTGACACCACTTAGCACATGCCTGGATCTCGCCTGGTCTGTGCCTGCCGCAACACATTTAACACACAATACTCGGTGCGTCTTATGGCTGCAGGTAGGGGTGTTGCAGCCATGTCGGGAGTGATGTACGGATCGGCGTACACTCGTCGTGTGTCATCCTGCTATATTGTGTTGAGCGTCTGTGTAGCAAGCTTCGTACGTGGGCCGTATGCCTTGATTGTTGGCACGACGACGTGACACCTTGGAATGGGTGCTTTGCTGACACCGTGTGGTGTCTGTGGTAGGGGGTGTGCTGGATTGTCCATTGCCAGCGTTGCGGCCAATAGGCAGTGGGGTGAATCCACTGAGAGGTGGTCGACTATGTGTGCTCTGGCATGGAATGTAGACGCACGTAACACACTGTCCAGTAGACCCAGTATAGCCCCCAGCTGGATCAGACAGCCGACGGTGTCTGCGCGACGCATGTACACGCCGTGACCGATGGCGTGGGAAGGACTCTGCACACCCCGGACATACATGCGTGATTGTCGGTACTGGTGGTGGAGGCTGTACGATCCTACGGCCATCTGTGTAAACGTGCGTGCCGGTACACTTGCTGCTCGTGTTTCCTACAAGAATTGGGCCCCGACGTTTGCCGCCAGTGTGTTCCGAGACGTCTGCTGAGCCGCTGTGTGAATCTCTAATTTGGTCAAGTGTTTTTACGCGGACTGGTTGCGCCTACTGAGAGACCCTCATTGGGCAAGATCATCGTGTGGTGGGGGAAGGTGAGCACACGCTGGTATCGCTGAGCGTACCTAAGCCACGTCGTCAAGCAGTAGCCCGAGTATGTCTCTTCGGCGGCGGAATCCGAACCCTATCCTCGCCAATCAGCGACTCACGATCCAGGCCACTCGATGGGCGGCGGCGGTTAAGGTCCGGAGTTCGTCGAACGCGTGGCGAAGTTCGAGTCCTGCCCCCGCCTCGCACCGATTCCGAAGAACCGCTGGTCGGTGGGGGTAGGGCTCGGGTGTCGCCACCCAGCTCTGCCTCGAGCCTTGCCCCCGCTTCTCTCTCGACGGGGAGGGAGGATGCCGGAGGCCGGTCGCCGCCGAGGCTTCCGCCCCCCGCGCGCGCGGGCCGCCGCCGCCGCCGCACCTCCCCCCCGGCCAATGGCGCCGCCCCCGCCGCACGCCCTCGGCCTCCCCGCATGCAGCTGCGCCGCCGCGCGGGTGACCCGACGGCCCCCTCCCCGATGCGGCCAGGGTGGGGTGGGGGGTGGGCCTCGCCGAGAGTGGGGAGGGGCCCAGGGAGGAGTCGGGAGGAGTCGACCAAAAAATTAGCCTGGCGAAGGACCCAACCATATGCAGTTGTTCGTACGGCAATTGTGAATATCTTCTTCGGTGGCGCTCCCTATGGGACGCATGTGGACGGTGGCGCTTGGGCCTTCTGTGGAGCACCCGATGGGGCCACGAAACATGTGAGAGGTGTGCGGACATAGGTGTGGGGAACGCAAGTGGACGGCGGCATTGGGGCCTTCGGTAGAATTCCTTATGGGGCCACAAAATGTGTGAGGGGTGTGCCGAAATGGGTCTGGGGGACGCATGTGGACGGTGGCACTGGGGCCTTCGGTGGAGCTCCCTATAGGGCCACGAAACGCGTGAGGGGTGTGCCGAATGGGTGAGGGGGACGCATGTGGACGGTGGCACTGGGGCCTTCGGTGGAGCTCCCTATTGGGCCACGAAACGTGTGAGGGGTGTGCCGAAATGGGTGTGGGAGACGCATGTGGACGGTGGCACTGGGGCCTTCGGTGGAGCTCCCTATTGGGCCACGAAGCGTGTGAGGGTGTGCCGACATGGGTGAGGGGGAGGCATGTGGACGGTGGCACTGGGGCCCTTCGGTGGAGCTCCCTATTGGGCACGAAAACGGTGAGGGGTGTGCTGACCCATGGGTGTGGGGTACGCATGTGACGGTGACACTGGGCCTTTCGGTGGAGCTCCCCTATTGGGCCACGAAACGTGTGAGGGGTGTGCCGAAATGGAAGTGGAACTGCATGCGGGCCCTGCCTCTGGGGCCTTGGGCGGAGCACCCTATAGGGCCACGAAACGTGTCAGGGGTGCGCCGAAATGGGGGTGGAACTGCATGCGGACCCTGCCACTGGGGCCTTCGGCGGAACACCCTATCGGGCCACGAAACGTGTGAGGGGTGCGCCGAGGGAACGCCATGGAACGTGCAACTGGGCATTCGGGGGCTCCTATTGGGCCACGAAACGTGTGAGGGGTGGTGCCCGAAATGGGGTTGCGGGGGACGCTGTGGACGGTGGCACTGGGGCCTTCGTGGAGCTCCCTATTGGGCCACGAAGCGCTGTACTGGTTGGGTGAAACGCAGGGAGGAGGAAGGAGGGGGGGAGGAGAGGAGAGGAGGAGAGGAGGAGGAGAGGATGAGGAACGCGGGGGCCGTCTCTTCAAAACGAGGACCCAACCCCACAGGTTGGTTGGGAACAAACAACACCAGCCCACCTGCGGTCCTCCATGTTGCGCTACGGCCAATTGGGCGCCGCAGCGTGTACCACGCAAAAGCCCACGCCAGATTTGTCCTGACATACGTGGAGCCCCCTGGGGCCGTAGATGGGGTGGTGCCGATTGTCTTTCTGCTCCAGGGAGGATGGGAAGGAGGGCAATTCGAGGATGCATCAACGCTGCTGCAGCGCACCCCCCCGTCCCAGGTTCCCCCTCCCACGAGTCCGTGCAGGCGTGCCCTCTCACCACGGGGCGTGCCGCCTTGGAAGGACGAGCGCCCCGTGAGCCTGTCGTTCAGACCAGAGAGCCCCAGTCTAAACACGGGTCCGCCTTCTGCCTTCTCTCCAGAATTTCGGGTTCCAGCGACAGCTCCGTTTGAAGAAGAAGAAGAAGAAGAAGAAGACGCGCCCTTGGTACGTGTCTTTGTTGCACACCCTCAGGCTTCTGGCAATGAAATGTGCGGCTTATCAAGCGAGAGCCATGCTTTGAAAAGGAGCCTTCCTTCATCAGTGTCCCGCGTTTTGGAATTTCGAGTCAGCGCCTTTGTGTACGCTGTCCCGGTGCACAATCCCAACCTCCCCCGCTCTGGAGCCCGCCCGCCCCCTCGAAAATCTCTCCCCTCCTCCCCTCTCCTGAACCTGGACCCCCCTGCTCTCGTCGTCGTCGTCGTCGTCGGCGGCGGCGGCGGCGGCGGTGGCGGTGGCGGCGGCGGCGGCGGCGGCGGTGGCGGTGGTGTCGGCGTCGGCATCGGCGTCGGCGTCGGCGTCGTCGTCGGCAACGGCGTCGGCGTCGGCGTCGGCGTCGGCGTCGGTGTCGACGTCGGCGTCGACGTCGGCCTCGCACTCGTCGACGTCGTCGTCGTCGTCGTCGTCGTCGTCGTCGTCGTCGTCGTCGTTGGCGAGTCGGTCGGGTGGGCGGGTGGGATGCGTCGTTGTCATCGTCGTTTTCTGGCGCCGTGGCGTCGTCGCCGTCGCCGCCGTCGTCGCCGTCGCCGTCGTTGTCGTGGGCGAGTCCATGGGTCGGACGGGTGGGCGGAACACGTCGTCGAAGTCGTCGTGGGCGAGTCGGTTGGGCGGGCGGGCCGACCACGTCGTCGTCGTCGTCGTCGTCGTCGTCGTCGTCGTCGTCGTCGTCGTCGTCGTCGTCGTCGTCGTCGTCGTTCGCCAGCGCCAGGTTGGGAGTGTCTGAACGGCCCACCCGCCTGAAAACTCCGCCCGTTTAGGTTTGCTCGCCGCCCGGCCCGCTCGGTGGGGTTCGCCCGCTCGATTCGTCTCTTGTGACCCTTGCAGGGGTAATCCAGGAGCTGGTACGAAAAAAGGACCTCCCCTAAGGGGGTACACTGATGGTGGAAGGGGACGGGTGCAGCAGCAGCAGCAGCAGCAATATCGCGTGCGTTCCGCAATGCGCCGCGCGGGCACACCAACGGACGCAGCAGCAGCAGCAGCAGCAGCAGCAGCAGCAGCAGCAGCAGCAGCAGCAGCAGCAGCAACAGGAGGAGGAGGAGGAGGAGGCAGGAGAGGATGAGGGAGGAGGAGGAGGGAAGGAGGATGAGGAGGAGGAGGAGGA